AGCCCCTTCCTTTTCTACATTCTTGAGGTCCTTCTTCCTGCTAGGCTCAGTGTTGTTATCTGCTGGACCCTAGGCTTCGCTTGCTCTGGAGAGGCTGGCATTACAAAGGAAAACAGTTGGCATTTGTTGTAACTGCAAGCTACAAACACAACAGAAGTTTGGAGTAAATTGCAGTCCTGATTTGCGGAAGATTTACTAATCAGAGTTTGAGTCATAGACACTCCATTGTTCTGTTATTCACAGGGTCTCTCCTCACTATACTTTCCATCCTCCCACATATTCCTTCTTATCTAAATTGTTCATGGATGGAGCGCCTGGGTGGCTCAGTCAGTTAAGTGTCCAGCTCTCGATTTCGGCTCGGGTCATGATCTCAGGGTCGTGAGATCCAGCTCCATGTCAAGCTCCATGCTGGGTGTGCAGCCTGCTTAAAATTCTCTCTCTCCCCCTGCCCCTCCCCACCCCCCGCTTGTGCCTGTGTGCTCTCGCTCTCTCTCCAATAAATAAATAAATAATACCTCATGGATTCCTGAGTTCAGGGCTGACCCAGACCAATAAACCCTGTGGAAAAGTGTGATTCTGCACATAACTCTTTGTCAATAAAGAGCCTTCTTTGTGGGGCAGTTTTAAAGGCTTGTTATCCAGATGAATGTTCCAGAAGGAGTAAACTGCATCTTGGTAGAATCTCATCAGTTTCATCATTCACTCAAAAATATTTGAGTGTCTACGATATGCCATGCCCTGTCCAAGGTGCTGGGGAGAGAGGGGCGAACCCCACCAACAAAGACCACCCAAGCAGAACTGTCTTGAGTAGAGATCCATGATAAATGAGTAAACAAAGAGAGGTGTGAAGCTCTGTTATTTCTCACCCCACATTTGACTGTTCCGCTCAATCTTGAGATCAGATTGTCTTCATGGTTTTTTTTCTCTTGGGTGCCTCCTGCTTCTGGGGGCTCCAGAGGGCCATGCTTGTATTTTACCCTTGGCTGGAATGGCCTCTTCTGCCTCCCCCAGACTCCTATTGATCCTTCTGATCTCAGTTGCCAGGTTCTGCCCTGTGCCAGCACAACTAAACACCCACACAGTACAATGTCCTGCTTCTGTGGACACGTCTGTCCCCGCCCTGCTCCTGGACTCTGAACACTTTAATGAGAGCATCTGTGTCTGATTTATCTTTGTATCTCCAGGGCCTAGCATGCAGCCTTGTGCACGGATGCTCAATGTGTTTGCTCCAAGAAATGTGGAATCCCACTGCAGCTGGGGGTGGGGGGTGGCATTACAGAAATTGCTTTAAGGGGAGGGATGCGGAGTCTGGGAGGGGATGCTTTGCTCCAGCAGTTCTGTGATTCTAGGACAAGTCCAACATGAGCCCTGCCATGACTGGAGGACATGGGCTAGGATATAGGCAGTGATGATTGAAGTGAGGTGGTACGGAACATTCTGAGGAGTGTTCGTAGGAAAGTTGGAAATGAGAAGTTCTGAGGCTCTAGGGCAGAACTGGAAGGAATAGTGAAGATGCAGGCTTTTATAGCTGTTGTCCAGCTGGGGTCCAGAGAGGCTGTGGCTTGACCTGGTTGTGACAGCTACTTAATTACAGATCAGGTCGGGGAACGAGGCCACCCAGTTCACAAGGCTTTCCACTGTACTGGGACTCTGGTGACAGGGAAGCAAAGGCACAGAGAGGTGAACTAAACTGCCCCAGATCACACTGCTTGTAAGTGGGGGAGCCGAAATTTGGATGTGTGATGATGACAGACAGCAGCTTGTAAACACTGAGCTACCTGTCTCTTCTTGGGACTTTAAAACTCAAGCTCTTAATATGTTTTCAGTTCTCCCCTTTGTTAGCTGTAAGCCACAATAGGAAAAGAATATCATTAACATGTTTTCTTTCTGTTGAAGTGTAGTTGTGTGTTTTCAGAAAAACATTGATGTTTTTCAAATATTAAAATAAAAGGCCCTGAATTACTTACTGTGTGCAAACACATGAAGTACGTAGAGATATCGTGAAAAAGTTTTTGGGTTTTCGCTATCGTGAAATTTAAAATATTCCTGTTTCATTTCTGTTATACTTAACCTAAAAATAAATATTTCATCCTGTATTGTAATGAATGAGAATCTAGCCCTTTACTGTCAGGAACCCTAACTTCATAGTCAATGAATATAATTATAACCTCCTTACCTGTATGGGTTTTACATCCCATTTCTCTAACATCTGTTGACACTTGGGCTGGAAAGTGGTTAGATCACTATTTTAGAAATGATTCTTTCTAGACACAGAAAAGTTAAATGACATTGAGTTTCAAAATGAGCTGCTAGAGGAACCAAAGATAGAAACTTTTCTACTACATACGAGACTCACTGAAATTCCTGCCATGGAGACTGTCTGCCATCAGTTGGTGCTCTCAAGTCCCAGTCCTGGAACCTCAGCCCTGTTGTGACACCAGAAATGTTTCTGTAGGATGCAGGGGGCATCCAGGGAAAGGCAAAGGCAGGGCTGACAGGATTGTTTCTAGGTCATTCCCAACCTTGCTGTTACAGCACAGTTTTCCAGGTGGGAGATAATATGCTCATTAAAGTCTGAGTGTTCATTTACAAACAAAGCCAGAAACCCAAAATGGCTCTATTACATAGATAAATGAGCACACATAAATGGACTCAATTTTTGTTTTTCATGCTCTGTCATATTCTGTATTCAGGCAAAGGAATAGGCAAATAAGTAGCTGTTTAAAAATATACCAGCATGTTGTTCATTTACTTTAAAAGCCACTGATTGGAATTAATAATCAGCATTTCCATGTAGTACTATATTCATGGAAACACTGACATTACGGTGCGTGGAGATAAGAGAATGATGTTCTTTATCTCTTTATGTAATCTAACTTTTATAATGTTTCTTAATTCACAAATGATGAATAAAGCAAGCAACATTCAAACGGGATACTTACTAAGGGCATTTAAATTCTTAGCACAAATGACAAATTCCTGTCTCTTGTCCATCTTCCACCCAAATTTGTTTTTATGGAATGACCTTTGGTACCAACTTATTTTACAATAAAATATTTCCTGAGTTTTTATTTTGAATTGAAATGGCCTTTTCTGTCAAGTGTGGTATTTATAAAAGTTTTTTTTTTTTTGATGAAAAGCCTATGAATTTTGTGCAAATAACCCAGGCAGGCTCTTAGCTTAGTGATAACATTTGTATAGGACTTTTATGGCTTTATATGATACATTTACACTCAGTTTATTGGACTCTTACTTGTAAGTACTCCATGGAATTCACATTTTACTGATGAGAACAATGTAGAGGGAGATGCCTTAGCATGGTTCTGGGTACCCAGCAGTATGTTTTGTTTTAAAAGGAAGTTAACAAAGAGAACCCATTAGGTTGTTTAACTTGTGTGAAGTAGCACAGCAAATATAGTGTGAGACCAAGAACTGAACTTCTTTTCTCAAAAATTCTATATGCTGTCATTATTTCACTGATATCTTTTCAGGCTTTTTAAAAAGGTCAAATTAAAAATACTCATTTTACTTAATTGAGGTAAAATTCACATAATGTGAAATTAATTACTTGAGAGCATACATTTCAGTGGCATTTAACACATCCAGAATGTTCTGTATCCATCACTCCTATCCAGTTCAAACATGTTTTCGTTATCCCAGAGGAGACCCCATATCCGTTAAGCAATAACCCCATTCTGCCCTTGGCCCAGCTGCTGGTAGTTACTGATTTGCTTGCCATCTCTCTAGTTTTACCTCTTCTAGATATTTCATGTAAATGGAATCGCACAATATGTGACTATCCGAGTCTGTTCGGGCTGCTATAACAGAATATCATAGATTGGCTGGGTTATAAACAACAGAAATTTCTCATATTTCTGGAGGCTGGGAAGTCAAAGATCAAGGCTCAAGCAGATGTGGTGTCTGGTTCTTGGATGTCTGTATTCTCACAGTATTCTCACATGGGAGCTCCCCGGGGTCTCTTTTACAAGGGCACTAATCACTTCCCAAAGTCTGTACCTCCTAACACCATCACACTAGGGGTTAGAATTTCAACATGTGAATTTTGTTGGGGACATAAACATTCAGTCCATTGCAGTGATCTTTGTGTCTGGCTTCTTTAATAAAGCGTAATGTTTTCAAGATAAATCTATGTTATAGGGTGTATCAATACTTTATGATTTTTCATGGGTGAATTTTATTCCGTTGTAGGGACAGACCATATTTGGTTTATCCATTGGTCAGTTGATGGACATTGAGTTTCCATGTCTTGTTGATTGCGAATAGTGCTGCCGTGAATGTTTGTGCTTGAGTATTTGTTTGAATACTTGTTTTCAGTTCTTTGGGGGTACAGTTGCATTTTCAGGTTATATGTAAATTCTATGTTTTAACTTTTGAGGCACCACTAACTATTTTTCAAAGAGACTGAACCATTAAAAAAAAACAAAAACAAAAACAAAGAGACTGAACCATTTTACATTCTTACCAGCAAGGTACAGTGTTCAGATTTCTCCAAATCATTGTCAATACTTGTTATTTGAGGTTTGTCTTTTTTACTCTGACCATCCTAGGGGACATGAAGTGGTATTTCCTTGTGGTTTTGATTTACATTTAACTGAAAAAATATTCAGATTTTATTGTATAGAATTAATCAGAAAGTGAGGTTTGGTAAGACAAAACCAACATCAAAATGGTTGGCTTCATCTATCTTCAGGAGATTATGTGGGACTGGCATAAGCCTTCCCCTAAGGTGCATGATTCTGGGCTGAAAATAGAGAACTTGTTGCTTTGGGAGTAGAATAATATATTGGATATTGGATAACAAGACCCCAAATATCCCTTGAACATTTTTTTTTAAATACTGCTTAAATTAATGAGGAAAAATAAATTCATCATAATTTATTTTTGTATCACCTGCCAAAAGATACTTACTTCTTTGCATTGTAGAGCTTTCTTTATATAATTTTGTCATGTCCTAATGGTCTATTTGTTTACTTTTTCAGCGTGAGTGAAGACATCCGGGATGGCTCAGGGATCTGGGGATCAAAAAGCAGTGGGAATTGCTGACCCAGAGGAGAGTTCTCCAAATATGATAGTCTACCGCAAAGTAAGGCCTCTCGTGAAATGCTTAGGATGTCTCTGTGTGTGTGCACGTGTAGGGTTGAGTGATGGTTGACAGCTTGACAAATGTTTTCTGCCTAAACTGCCTTGACTGATAAATGAATATAGTTTTCTTCTCACATCCTCTGATTTTCCAATTCTAAAATTCAAGCAACTTAGGTTTGTCATACTTGAAACATATGATTTGGTATTCTTTAAAGATTTTATTTTTAAGTAAACTCTACACCCAATGTGGGACTTGAACTTACAACCTGGAGATCAAGAGTGGCATTCTCTACAGACTGAGCCAGCCAGGTACCCCCGATTTGGTTTTCTTTAAATGCAAAGACTGCCTAAGCAATGCAGAGGAATATATTCACCTTTGAGGTAAAAGCCTTTGTGTAACATTTATCAGTTGATTGTTTTTGAGCCCATAGTATGTACAAGATCTGGTCTAGATGCTGGGTGGGAGATACAGAGGTATGCATGTATTAAATGTTTGCCGTTGGTAGGAGACATAAGATGTATGCAAATAAATGTAATAATCTAAGTGTTAATTTCCAAAAGAGAAGTGCAGATAGAGTGTTATATGAAATCAGAGGAACAGGTGATCACTTCCAGGCTCAGAGGCCAGGTGTGTGCTGGCAGAGGAGTGGGCTCTGAACTCCATTGTAAAGGATGGGTAAGACCACTTTATGTGGAAAGCAGAAAGGAAGAACAACATTCCAGGTAGTGAGATGCGTTCAGCAAAGGGAAGGAGCTGAGGAAAGTGAGCAGGATCCAGAATCAGTGAGCTTGGGGTCAGAGGTGACTTACATGGAGTAATGGAGGTAAGGTTTTGGGAAGAGTCTGGATGGAGCCAGATTTGAGAACGGTGAATCATAGGCAATTTAATCATGAAAAACTTTTGTGCTAGGAGTTGTAAAATTAATATCTCTTTGGGATTATGAGTCTTGCCCCAGTGTGCCAGATGCATTATTATGATGGCAGATGTGAGGCTCTGGAGGTAGGGTATTGGTATTTCTGTCTCTGTGAGAATGGTAAGGAGGACACTAATCTAGCAGGGAAAATACCCCTCAGAATTGAGTGAGACTGAGCAAAGGGATTAAAGAGTCTGAATTAAAAAATGACTTGGAAACTGAATGAATATAGAATTAAGAGGAGAAAAGAAAAGAAGACTGTGCTTTGACCTTGGGTTATAGAAAGACATTGACGCTATTAATTCAAATAGGGATGTTTGGAAGAATGTCTTAAAGGAAGGAACTATGGCATAGAAGTTTTATTTGTGCACATGTTGAATCTGAGGGAATGACTGCTTCCTATTAACACATCTTTTTAAGGCTTGCATATGTGTGAAAATTTAACCTAACTGTGTTACATATTAATAAGGAAAATGAGTTAATGTTCATTCATTTCACTAAATATTTGAGTTGTCTTCTGGGTTCCGTGTATTCTGTAAGACTGTATGTTTGATCTCTGCTAATCACATGGGCAAGATTGTACTAGATATTTCTGGATGATCAATATGGTGAATTTTTCTCTTTCCTTATAAAGATAGAACTCAAACTAATCTTGCTTTGAGTCTCAAATTCCTTAATCCTTTGCTTTGTAAGAGAAAGCTTAGATAACCCTTCTCTAACAGAGATGCCTTTTAAGTTGTAGTAAAGAAAAAAGAGATTAACAGGGCTAACCAATTAGTGAAGCATACAGAATAGAAAGATGTTTATTCATCATTACCTTCTTAACCCACCCATGCTGGAAACCCTATGCCAAGTTCATAAGAATATGAGCTTTGGAATCAGACCTAGGTTAAAATTATTGCAACCCTACTATTTCCTAGTGGTGTGACCTTGTGTTATTTAACTTCTGTGAGCTTCAGTTTCTTCATTTTTAAAAAGAAAAATAAAAGGTGGGAGGAAGGATACTACCTCGTAAGGTCATTATGAAGATTCATTTAGGTAAGTAAATGAGGCATTTCACATCTTACTTTGCATGGAGGTGGTCCATAATGAATGCTTTTCTTTTATCTTTAGGTCTTATAAAGGCAGTGTCATTTAGAGAGGAACTAAATTATAAAATGTATACATGTTGATACCATTAATAAGTTGATTAAACTATGTTTGTACAGTGAATTGCTTTTTTTTAAAGATTTTATTTATTTATTTGACAGACAGAGATCACAAGTAGGCAGAGAGGCAGGCAGAGAGAGAGGAAGGGAAGCAGGCTCCCTGCTGAGCAGAGAGCCCGATGTGGGGCTCTATCCCAGGACCCTGGGATCATGACCTGAGCTGAAGGCAGAGGCTTTAGCCCACTGAGCCACCCAGGCGCCCCATGAATTGCTTTTTTAAGACACAGGAGAGCAGTATAATTTTTAAATTTAAATTCAATAATTTTTATATTATTCAGGAGATCGTAAACCAATGGGTTGTTAAAGGTTGGTAGGAAAGGTAAAGGTCATGCAACCCAAACACCTTTCGGGTGTTATAAATGTTTGGTATTATATTGAAAGGAAAACTTCCTTCACGTTTGTGGGAACTTGATTTTTAATTTTTAGATGGTAGGAGGGAACTCTTTTTTGGTTTAATTTAGATATAAAGTTGTCGATTGCTGTAGTTCTTCAGAGATATGACTACTGGCCATTTGCTTTCTATATTGGAAATATATCTAGCTTACTTATGACAAACGTGTGTGTGGTACGCATGTGTTCATGTTATTTGCTATGTTAGTTAATTGCTATAAAAGGGATATTGCATCTGTTTGATCTATGAGAAAGAGGCATCATTTAGTATGGGTCTAGGACCTGGAGTAATTTAAACCTAGTTAATTCCACTAAATCATGGTTCTGTTTCAGCCGTGGGTTATTTACCTAGTTCTCTACTCAAAGCAGTGCTGTAGACCAGCCATTGGCTACAACCAATACAACCAATATCTCAGGACACTATCTTCAAGATTAAACCTTGAAATCAAGGTGAATCCAAAACAAATGTAGACGTCCTCTTCTGTAATGTTTTTTTTTCAAGGTTGTAAGCTCTAAAACCAAACTTTTTTAGAGGTCTACAACAGAAATTTGCATTAAAAATTGTGCAAATAGTGTTGTTCTTTTTGTTTTCATTCTCTTGTTTGTTGTTTCTTACTCATGTCAGATGTTTTTAGTGTGAAGTTTTTGCTTGGACTGTGTTGTGTTGATTCAGACGCTGACATTTAAAAAGCTAAATCTAGAGAAAAGGAGCTTTCGGGTAAACTTCCGAGTTATAAGTGGGATGATTGTGTCCTTGATGTTGTGACTTTTAAATGCCATTTAGGATGGTAACCTTCTGACATATGAGTAATGATGGGTGGGTTTCTTAAGCCTACACTCTCAGGATCTTCTTCATTTTCTTTTCATGTTTTCTGTGTCATTAACTGTGAGAAGTTGTACTTTCCCAAGGCATGATTTATTTATTGAGTTGAACAGACTTTCTAATTTAGTTTTTCATCCTTCACATTCACATCTGGGGTTGGAGGTATGTATGAAAAATGTATTGGTCACATTAAAAATCTATTTAAGAGAAAAATTTAATTATTCATTAAGTCACCCAGACCCTGATAACCTTTTTTATATTCTTGGATCCAAAAGATCCTGGGTCATTGAATTGTCCAATGTAGGGATGATATTTGAACTTGGCTGAACATCAGATCATTTAGGGCTGTTTTATAAAAATATTGATCCCCAAAGGATCCCCAAATATAACCAAGATATATTTGTTTCATAGGATTGAACTGGGTCCTGGGAATCTGAGTCTTATTTTATTTTTTAATTTTTTAAGAAGATTTTTTTTAATTGAGAGAGAGAGAAAGAGAGAATGAATGAGCAGGGAGCGGGGCAGGGCAGAGGGAGAGGGAGAAGCAGACTCCCCATTGAACTTGACACTGGCCAATCCTAGGACCCTGAGAGCAGGACCTGAGCCAAAGGCAGACACTTAACCAACTCAGCCATTCAGGCACACCCTGGGAATCTGAGTTTTAAACACTTCTCAGAAGAATCTGAGTTTGAAACACACTTATTAATATATTTTACAATATCCAGGTAGAGTATGCATGGCAAAGTAATGAGAAAGTTGATGTTTTGAAGTGGGGTTTTGATCTTATAATTATTTATAGATCTCTCAAATGTAGAAGAACCAGTCTCCTGTCACATAGACTTACAAGTGAAGGATTTACTTGTAACACCCTCATTTAGACGAGCAAACTAAAGGATGGAGAGAGTATGTAACTTGCATTAGGTTACTCAGCAGTTTCCCAGTGAAGCCATGATTGTGTTCAGGTAGCCTGACTACCCCTGTTAGTGTCCTTTCCACCACCACGTTATCAACAGCAGATTACCACTGCCACATAGTTGGGGCTCAACAGACATGGGATGAATTAAATAAATGAAAATACTATGCAGCAGATCTTTGCTTTTCTCACCCCTATTCTCAGAGACTTGACTTGGGTGAACTTTGAACATTTGTAATGCTAAAGCGTCCTTCTGCTTGCTGGTACTCTTGTATCTTGGGTAAAAATTTTCTAAAATGTTTACTTTCTTTAATAAACTCAGAATTCTTTTGAGTACAAGTAGGTTGCATTCCGATTTTGTTTAGTTCTCTGAGTGGTGTTAATAATGTCTCTTGAGAAATTTCCAACTGGACTGGTAATTTGATTTTGTAGAACTCTGGGCAATTAGATGGTAGTTGGATGGAGAAAATTGTAGCTTAACTTGACCCAGGCTTGGGTCAGGAGGCAGTACAGTGTGATGGAATATGCCAGACAGAAAGCAGAGAGCTCTGGATGTCTGGCCCCAGCCCCCACACTCACTGCTTTGGTACTCTGGATGGGCAACTTCATTTTCCTAGCTCTGCTTCTTGTTTTGACTTCCCCCTCTCTCCTTTCTTTTCCTCCTTCCTTCCCTACACAAAATACTTCTGATACAAAAAGAACATATTCGGTGTCCACATAAAGTAGAAACAAGCATGATAAAGTGAACCCTGT